TGCCTTCTAGGAAATTCTCTTTCCTGCCCCCCCCCCCCGTTTTAAATCAAAGGGGGAAAGGAGGGGTGTGCTCCTGTGGGTTGGAAGCTACGTGGGTGCCTGAAAGGACCTGGGCTTTGCTGTCGTTGCTGCCCCAGAATTGTTGGCGCTGCGCAGCCGGGATCTGAGCGAAGGGCTTGAGGGGTGAAAGGACGAGATTTGTCTCCCGACATTAGGTTCAGGGAGGAGTCCTTTCATCCGAAATGCCAGGCCTGAAGCGCGTCAGATGAAGGATTAAATGCTGTGATCCCATCCAGGGCCAGTTAGAGCGCTCGGCTTCACGGATCCCACCAGTGCTTGGCTTTTTTAAATATATTTTTATTGGTTTCAGAGAGGAAGGGAGAGGGGGAGAGAGACACACACATCCATGATGAGAGAGAATCATTGACCCGGTGTCTCCTGACCCCTACAGGGGATCGAGCCCACAACCCGGGCTGGGCTCTACTTCTTTTTTAAAAAAAGAGCATGAGGCACGGGCCCCGGGCATGTGCCCTTGACCAGAATCGAACCTGGGACCCTTCCGTCCGCAGGTCGATGCTCTATCCACTGAGCCAAACCGGTTGGGGCCCCACCAGTGCTTTTCTAAAACCCCAAGTTCGCTAGCCAGCTGCCCCCTTCCAGAATGACCGGCCGTTACGCACGTGTCCGCTAGACGTCCTGGCCCCAGCTGAGTGCCACCCGGCCCCTCTTGCAGAAGTAGGAGGAGAGCCATGGAGGGTGAGGAGCGGGGAGGGGTGCCCCCACGGGGGATGGTATCTGAAATTCCACATTATTCATTTTTGGGGGTTAAATGCTCTCCCCTCTTAGTGAGATCACTAATCATAATACCGTAGTATAAAGTAGTTGATGGTGTCCTTTCTAACATGATCACTGAGTTGGAACAGGTTTTTGGGTGTTTTTTAATACTAGTATATTTTTTTTATTGATTTCAGAGAGGAAGGGAGAGGGAGGGAGGGAGAGGGAGAGAGAGAGAGAGAAAGAAATGTCAGTGATTTGAGAGAATGATTGGTCAATCTGGGCACGTGCCCAAGGGCTGCCCTGGCCGGTTTGGCTCAGTGGATAGAGTGTCGGCCTGCGGACTGAAGGGGCCCAGGTTCGATTCCGGTCAAGAGCACATGCCCAGGTTGTGATCTCAATCCCCAGTAGTGGGTGTGCAGGAGGCAGCCGATCCATGATTCTCTCTCATCATTGATGTTTCTGTCTCTCCCTCTCCCTTCCTCTCTGAATTCAAACCGGGAATCGAACCATGACCTCCTGGTTCATATGTCGACACTCAACCACTGAGCCACGCCGGCGTTTAAGAGAGGTTGCAAGAGAGGCAGAGGAGGTACTGCCTGGATAGGCTGGCTGGCTGGGGAAGCTCAGGGAAAACGGCTCTTCTGTAGCTAGAGTCGCGTTAGTGACAGACTGTCAGACTGGCGGGTGGGATATGACATCAGTGACAGGCCAGGTCTCGGGATGAATTCAGAGGCCAGGCAGAGGGGCGGGGCCTGGATTAGGGAAGCCAGGGGCGGGCCAGCCTCAGCACTGCTGGGGCCCAGACTTGTGGGAGTGAGCCTCGGTGTTGAAGTTGGAGTTTTAAGAAACAGGGGCTGCCCTGGCCGGTTTGGCTCAGTGGATAGAGCGTCGGCCTGCGGACTGAAGGGGCCCAGGTTTGATTCCGGTCAAGGGCACAGGCCCGGGTTGTGCACTTGTTCCCCAGTTGGGGGCTTGCAGGAGGCAGCCAATCCATGATTCTCTCTCATCATTGATGTTTCTCTCTCTCTCTCCCTCTCCCTTCCTCTCTGAAATAAATAAAAATATATTTAAAAAAAGAAAAGAAACAAGGGCTAGAGGGTGATTTTGCTGCGTGTTGGAGACGGGCAGCTCCCCTCCGATGCCTCCCTTCTGTCTTCCCCTCCCCCCTTTCCCTTACCCACTTCTCCTCTGTCTTTCTCTCCCCCTCCTTTCTCCTTGCGATGTGTGAACCTCACATTTATTTCGTAGCTGAGGTTACATTGTGCTGATCTCCCGCCCCGTTCTAGTCTCCCCCTTTCTTCGCTGCGGGCGATGGTGAGGGCAGGGCAGCGGCATGCCTGCCTGAGCGTGTGTGTCCCTGTTGGTGGGAAAATCAAACAGCTGGTTTTGCTTCTCAACAAGAGAGCCGCCGTGGAGAAAGCATCCTCGGCTTGTCCTGGCCTCCGGTCGTCCCCGCTGTGAACCCGCGGCCCGTCGCCACAGCGGGGGTGTGTGTGGCCGCTCCTATCTGTGCGAGGGTCAGCCTGCCCTGGAACTCTGTGTTTGCCGTGCAGGTGGACGGGGTCAGCTACCTGCTCCAGGAGATCTACGGGATCGAGAACAAGTACAACACGCAGGATGCCAAGGTGAGTGCCGCCCGGCGCGCTGCCTGTCCTCCCGAGGGGCAGCGAGGAGCCCGGTAAAGCTGGGACCGGGAGGCCGGGCACCGGCTCGCAGTCAGTTCGGGCCCAGAGGGTGTTTCCCGCCCCTCGTTTCAGATGACTGTCCTTAAATCGCTCTGGGTTAGTCTCTGAGTCCCTCCCCACCCCCTGCCGTTAGCCGGCTGGGCTTTCCGGACGCTGATCATTAAACCCCTCTTATCCCCGTGGGGTCTGCTCAGCCCCACGGCCCAGCCAGTCAGAGGCAGGTCAGCCTCACAGTGTGAGCTTGAGAGAAGCTCCCGGAGTCAGTGACACCGAGTGTGTGAACGCACTGGGTAAACTGTGAAGTCCGATGCAAGTGTAAGCTTCTGTTCCTATTCCTTTTTAAAAATATATATATTTGTATTGATTTCAGAGAGGAAGGGAGAGGGAGAGAGAGAGAAACATCAATGATGAGAGAGAATCATGGACCAGCTGCCTCCTGCACGCCCCACACTAGGGATCGAGCCCGCAGCCCGGGCCGGTGCCCTGACCTCCTGGTTCATGGGTCGATGCTCAGCCCTGAGCCGCGCCGGCCGGACTGTTCCCATCCCTTGTCTAGCAAGTGTGCGTCCTTGTCCTTGGCTCAGTGTCCGCTCCCCGGCAGGTGGCTGAGGACGAGGTGAGTGACAACAGCGCCGAGTGCGTGGTGTGCCTCTCGGACGTGCGGGACACCCTCATCCTGCCCTGCCGCCACCTCTGCCTGTGCAACACCTGTGCCGACACCCTGCGCTACCAGGCCAGCAACTGCCCCATCTGCCGCCTGCGTAAGCCCCGCGGGTCCGGGCCGCGCGGCCCCGGGGCAGGGGTGGCGGGGTCTGTCCCACCCCCGCACCCACGTGGCCTGATGGCCCCTCTCCTCCTCCGCAGCCTTCCGGGCGCTGCTGCAGATCCGAGCCATGAGGAAGAAGCTGGGCCCCTTGTCCCCGACCAGCTTCAACCCCATCATCTCCTCCCAGACCTCCGACTCGGAGGAGCCCTCGGTGAGTGGGGCTCAGAACCGCGCCCCGTGAAGCCAACAGGGAGGTCTCCTCGCTGCCTCCTCTCGCCTTGGGCCCCTCATTTCCGTGCCTTTGCGGGGGCGTGGGCAGTAAGCTGGGTGAGCCCCTGTTGCCTTGAGACCAGCCTGTAGTATAAGGTTGGGAATTTGGTGTCCTGATGGTGGTGGCCATGCCTAGAGCCTCCCCGATTCCCCTCTGTGGGGTCCCCCTTTCTCTGGGACTCCCCCAAGCAGAAGCAAGGGGGTGGTCGTCTTAGGTTGGGATACAGTTTACTGTCTTTATCTGAGTCCTCGCAGGAGGTAACTGGTTTTATTTTTCTGGGTTTTTTTAAAATATATTTTTTATTGATTTCACAGAGGAAGGGAGAGGGAGAGAGAGAGAAACAGCAATGATGAGAGAGAATCATTGATCGGCTGCCTCCTGCACACCTCACACTGGGGATCGAGTTCCCTGACCGGGAATCAAACCGTAACCTCCTGATTCATAAGTCAATGCTCAACCACTGAGCCACACTGGCCGGGCGGTAACTGGTTTTCTTTATCCCTTTTGGTGGGGTCAGGGGCGGGGAGCCGAGCATATGAAGGTATCCCCCTCCGTTTCAGGGTACGAGGCATGGTGTCGGGGTGAAGCCTCGGAGCAGATACTGACTTGCTTTAGATTCCCACGCTAGACGTACCATCCAGTGAGCGGTACGGGGATAATTACTTAGCTATCTGGGGAGGAAACGTCAGTGTAGCTTTACTCCTTACCAGATAACAGATTGCACATGGAGTAACAGTGAATTGTACTCCAAACAAAGCAAACCAAGCAGAACGTTAAAGGGCTGGAATGAATTACCGGTGACTCTCCGGTGGACTTTGGACGGGAGAGGGCTCGCTAAGCTTAAAGTGGAACAGGACGGACAAAGACGGTGCACCTTTTACCACGTAACAGATTTAAATTTCAGCCCGGCTGATGCGGCTCAGCGGTTGCGCGTCGACCCAGACACCAAAAGGTCACCGATTCAATTCCCGGTCGGGGCTCATGCCCAGGTGGTGGGCTCAGTCCCCAATAGGGGGCGTGCAGGAGACAGCCCATCAGTGTTTCTCTGTCCTTCTCCCTCTTTCTCTAAAAACAAAAACAATCAAAACAAAACATAGGAGCTTTAAAAAAACTTTTTTGAATTTCAGATGTATAGCACATGACCAAAATTGAAAGGCAAACAACCACCCATTTAAAGAAAAAAATGTCTTCACGACATTGACACCGGAGGAAAGCCCGTGTCTCGGCGGTAGCTCCTGTGAATAAAACAGACAAAAATGTTCAAAGGGTTTCAAAACGCAGTTCTCGGAAGAGGAAGCACAGCAGGTTAGCAGTCATTGCTTTCAGCCTCAGCCACATTAAAAACCAACAGTACGCAAATTAACGGGAGACACCGTTTTCACCTTTCAAATTAAAAAAACCTCTTTAAAGACACTCCAGGCTGGCAGAACTAAGTAGGTTTTCTGTTCTGCTTTGAGGAGTGTAACTAGAAAAATCGTTGAAAAAAAAATTTTTAAAAAGCCTGTGTATGTCAAGAGCCTTAAACACGATTATACGAGGTAATCTAGGGCCTAAGAATTTAATACCAAGAAAATGATCTGAAAAAAGATTCAGGCACTAGGACATCCCTCAGACTGTTCACAGTCGGACATGTCGACACAGCTGAGTAGCCAGCCCCGGTGGGAGCAGGAGCTTGCGGTATCGGTGGGAAGGGGACGCGTGTGAAGGAAAACATCTGTGTCAGGTGACGTACGCGGGATATAAAGTTGTTATTCACAGATGATAGGTTGTAGCTGGGCAAACAGGACACGGAAAAATGGGAAGAAAATACACAGAATGCTAATGAAGTTATTACTTTGGGTGACTTGATTATTGATGGTTTTCTCCCCTCCTTTCTACTTTTTTTTTTTTTTTAATCCTGACCTGAGGATATGTTTATTGATTTTAGAGAGAGAGAAAGAGACAGACATCGATGTGGGAGAGAACATCGATTGGTCGCCTCCCGCAACACATCCCAACCAACACACCCCAACCGGGGCTTGAACCTGCAGCCCGGGCATGTGCCCTGGCGGGGAATCGAACTGGGACCTCTGGCCTGAGCCACGCGGTCTGGCTAATGAACTCTCCCACCGTCTGATCCCCCTAGTCCTCCGAGAACATCCCGCCGGGCTATGAAGTGGTGTCCCTTTCGGGGCTTGAACCTGCAGCCCGGCCATGTGCCCTGGCGGGGAATCGACCCGGGACCTCTGGCCTGAGCCACGCGGTCTGGCTAATGAACTCTCCCACCGTCTGATCCCCCTAGTCCTCCGAGAACATCCCGCCGGGCTATGAAGTGGTGTCCCTTCTGGAGGCCCTCAACGGGCCCCTCACCCCGTCCCCTGCGGTCCCTCCACTCCACGTGCTGGGCGACGGCCACCTCTCAGGAATGCTGCCCGCCTACGGCAGCGACGGCCACCTGCCCCCCGTCAGAACGCTCTCCCCGCTCGACCGCCTGCCCGACGGCAGCAGCCAAGGACTCAAGCTCAAAAGGAGTCTCTCCAAGTGAGTCGCCGGCACGCACCCGCT